CAAAAGTCAACTGAAGGACTATTATTTAAAAATAGTGTGAACAAAGCATAGCACTCATCCTGGGTGGAGTTCAGAGCAGCAGCAAGCATAGACTTGCGACAGTTTGAATGGTTACCAAAGATATAAAGAAAACTTAGATGCGTGTGCAGATAGCAGGCAAAAGATTTAGTTTCAGAAAACATCCAAACTAACTCATTCTATGAGTTATAGAACCTGACGAAATAAATTTACACCATTTTTGTTTAGATTATTTATCATTAAATAATCTTTGCAATTGATATAGCACATTATTATGTTGTTAAAATGTCTCAAAGTCCTTCACAGAATTTTAAGTGTAGTGACTGGATATTTTATAGGTGAACATGGCAACCAATTTGAGGACACTACACAAAGTACATAAAGTGAATGAACAATTTTATCTGGCCAGAAACTCGCTTCACTTTTCAAATAAGCCAATGGGTCTTTAAGTTCCACCTGAATATGCAGATGGGACCTTGGTTTAACGTCTCATCCGAAGGAAAGCACCTCTGATAGTGATGGGTAATCCCCATCACCGCAATGGAGTGTCAGCCTAGACTGAGCTCCTGATGTGGGGCTTGAACCCACAATCATCTGACTCAGAGGTGAGAGTGCTACTAACTGAGCCGGGCTGACACACTTATTAAACAGTTCAGGAAACAATAGAGAACCATTTTTGAACCTTAGCTTATTTTATAATAATAAATCTTCCCTTTTGATACAGCGTCTCAAAGTATTTCACAGGTAATTGTCTGGTATTGTGACTGTGCATTTTAAGGGTGAGACTCGTCTAGTGTTTCCACAGAGTCAAGAGCTGGAGAGTGGGATTGTTTTTTTGAGCAGCATTTTACAAAATGTTCCTGCAGTAAGAGCAGCAAACAGCATCACCGTGTACAAAATGTGATTTGCTGGGGTCAAGAGCACTTTTGTATTGTATGGCAGCCACGTGTTTAATATCAATGTGGCAACAGGTTCTGTAGGTAGGAAACAGGGAATCAAAAGCAAATCTGCGTTAAAGACATACCAGAAATCTGTAACAGTAAAGAAATGGGCAACATATTGTAAAGAGAACTTCACGCTGCATTTGGCCAGTAGCATCTGACCTGGGAGTACTAGATGGAACCATTGGCTATAAAATGTGGTAATGTGTTCCGGTATTTAGCACTGACATCTCAAGCTTTAATCACATAAATTCACCCAGAAATTTACACTAACAACAGTACGTGACAGTACAATTGTAACTCAAAACCCATCAGATTGTTGACCAACATGACCTCTTAGAAGCCTGAGCAGTTCACAAGTGCCCTCGAAAACACCAGAGATGTGGAGATTAAAGAACCTTAAAACGCATTTAAAATGAAAGAAGAACCCTTGAAACGTTTAGCTTGAAGAATCTATGAGATACAATACCACCAGCTATCTGTATCAGGGTAACTAACAAATATTTCCTGGCACCCATAAGCCCTTCCTCAGGCAGGGAGATCAAGTTTGAGTCTCGTAAGAGTCAAATCTCTATGCTGACCAGGAATCCAGTGAGCTGAATGTGAGATGTCATGTGCACATTCTTCTGACTGCTTATCGGACCGATTGCCTCAAGCTGTGTAACTGGAATGGTTGAAGTTGCAAGAGTTGCCACCACTGAAAGCCGTCAGCCCGGTCCAGAGAGCACTTTGTACTTGGGACAACTTCCTTGAATGACATTATGAGGTCTGAGGTTGAACAGGCTCTGCAGGCAAATGCTTTACACTTTGAACTTCTCAAGAATGATTTTCTGACAGTTCTGCCTGGGTGGCCTTTGTTTTGGAACGAGAAATACCAAAATGTTGACATTGTTCCATTCACAAATCCGTGAAACTGTCTGAGGGAGCTTAACAACCTTGGTGGTGGGGCGGGGGGGCGCAGAAGAGGATGGAATTGATACTGCTACACTGCCTTGTCATACTCTTGCTTGATGGATTCCAATACAGTGACCTCCTACCAACCCCCCTCGGAATTCAAACCTAGCCAAACCGAGCCCGAAACTTAACAATTATTATTATTATTTCACCCTATTCTGCTCTTAATACTTGACATACTTTATAAGTGGTGCCTTTTTGGAACTGTTCTTCTATATTGTCATTTAAGCTGTTCATTTTGACTTCCCAAATACATCTCTAGTTTTCTTTCATCGCCATTGTCCTCTTGGCCATTATTGATTTAATTAAATCCTCACTATTCAATCAGGCCCTCACAAGTCCTGGGTTGGGTTGACCTTTCCCTATAGCCAACAGAGTTTCAAAAAGGTATCACAGGTTCTTCCCTGCATTCAGTTGCTGTCTGTTGTCCCCACTGACATTTCCTGTGCGTTCAATACTTACTCCCAAGCAAAGGTTTCTCAATGCAAGTAAACTGGACTATGAACTCATTTGGTAAATAGTAACTGTACCGCTGATAAAAAACTGTTTGATAACACATATGAAGAAATGTTTAGCTTAGACAAATGTACACTAATAATGCAAAAACTATATGACGACAGAGTCAGTCAGGCCTGTAGACACGCAGAGTCTTATGAAGGTGCCATAGCCTCCAAGATACAAATACTTAGAAGCTAATACAATCACAATCCAAAGATGCCTATACACACAGACAAATAGATTCAAAACCATTTAGGGCGATGTGGTGCCTATCCAATCTCCAAAAGAACCAAATAACAGAAGCGTTCTGCCTAGACCTGTTCCAGTTGCTTCACATTAATATCCCTCACAATCATCCTTGCAAAGTTACCCAATACGTGCAACAATGTCAGCCTGGCTCAGCTGGTAGGGAGCACTCTCGCCTCCGAGTCAGAAGGTTGTGTGTTGAAGGCCCATGTCAGGATTTTGAACTCATATCGTCAAAGCTGACATTCCAATTGCAGCGCTAGGGGTGAGCGAACTGACCGGCCTTCAGAAAAGACTTAAACCAAGGTCCCATCAACCTGTTCAGGTAGATGTTACTAGATCCCATGACCCTAATTCTAAAAGAGAAGGGAGTTTCTCCCAGTGTCCCGGCTAACACTCAGATAAAATTAGTCATTCACTTCATGGCTGTTTGTGGTACATTACTGCGTGCAAATTGTCTGCCAGGTTCGGAAAAAAAAAAAATATCCAATTTATAATAAATCCTGTGAAGTGCTTTGAGATGTTCTCGTGACGTGAAATATTCTATATCAAATGCCAGGATTAGTATAAAAGCCCAGAATGAACAACAAAAACTACTAAAGGACAGGGTTGGTCTCACTCTCTTGAACTGCCATTAGCAATAGATGGCACCAACATAGACTCTCATGGTTTCTACCGACAATCCCCACACCCCCCACCCCGGGCAGGATTAAACAGGCCAGTTGGCATCACAACCCTGCCTGTATTTTAATGCTGGCAAATTATTACTTATTTCAGTCTTTGTGGACTATCCGACTAATTTTAAAAGTTTATTGCGACTTTCACAATGTAGGATGTGGCTGTGTGGGGTGGTTTCAAATCATGTCATTGTTGATGGCTCCATTAGACTATCAACTGAGCTAAGACCATCTCTTATTAACCTGAAAATCATACACTTCCTCTTGGAGCCAACCAACTGGGACTAAGTGTTCTGGCTGCTCATAATTCTGGAAACATTCATATCCTCCTACAAAGATTATCAAGCTAGTTTTGTTGGGATACACATTTACTACAAATTGATCTAGAAAATACATGCACAACAAAATGCACCTGGGAGAGATCAGGAAAGAAAGCTATATGACGACAAATGGAATAAGTAGTTAAGTGTAGTTAAGAATAAGTACGAGTCTCTTCCATCAACAAACTGAAAGGAGAATAATTATAAGCCACGCATAAGAAACACCACTCCACTTTTATGAGTGGAGCCTTCAAATGAGTCAGCAATGATGCTTGAAAAACAAGCACAATGTATAGGGAGTGAACAGCAGACTGGGATTTGTTTTGGTGGCTCATGTAAAGAAAAGTACCATGGCAGACTTGAACTGAAAAGCCTGGTTTGTGCTGTAACATTTTACGATCCTATGAAAAGCTACATGCAGGGAATTGGGATCAGTTTACCCACTGGATTTGAATGGTCTCCTATGTGCCATTGTGTGATCCTATGATTGGTCTGAATGGAGTAATTGTGATGCAAGGCGTTAACCTTCTGAATCCATCCCAAAATTCACGTGTAGTCAGTGTCCTCCTACACGGAATCAGCACAATACCAGGTCCTGGTTTTAAAGCAACTCAGATAGAAGTCAGCAATTCTTGCTAATATTAGTGAAATTGCCTGTTGTTGGAGTTCTGCGTGCTGTGGGAGGGGAAGAGTAAACGTCTGGGTGCAAAATTCAAGTTTCTCTCATGAGTAACAGGAGGAAAAATGTTTTTGACTTTTATTATATTTCATAATCTACAACTTTTAAAACAAATTTTTAAAACTGTTTCATTGCTCCTTTCCCAAAATAAGTAGCTATTGCATCTTATTGAGGTCAGCCCGGAAAAGGCTACATAATAATCCTTGCATTTGATGTAGCGTCTTTTCACATTGTCAACACATTTCAAAGAGCTTCTCAAGAATATACTGTATTTTGTGCGTGAACTTGACAACCAATTTGCATACAGCAGTGTCCTACAGCCACGGAGTGACTAACCTATTTTATTGGGGGCATTGCTGACCAGGACTTAAATCCTTGTGAAGTCTGTGTTGAACAGAATCACTTAGAATATGTTATTGCTGACAATATTTTGGTGTACATGCAGCTGCATTTTCTTTTGAATAAAATACATACTTGAACCTTATAAGAGCTCATCAGCTCATTGCCATGTCACAAATACCAAATGAACTAAAATCTATTTAGAAAAAAAAGCGCTTTGTCGCACCCATCTGCATTGCAGGTTGAACAATAAGAAAGTTAATGTGATGTGCACTGAAAGTGTCAATTCAACGAGAAACTAACACACACACAAGTTGTTTCAAATGAAAAAGCACATTTTATTGCACTTAAGTTATAAGAAAATAAAAATTCTAAGTGAATCAAACCATAGACACAATCCCTTTAAGGTTTCTCCATCACATCAGGCAGTTACATACTGTAAAGTAAAACACCTGAAATCTGATTTTTTTTAAAACCAGACTATAAATTAACAAGAAAATAAAAAGAAAACAGAAGTATCTAACTCAAGATTGTTTAGTATACAGTGTTAAACCACTTTCACAGTTCATGTTGAGTTGTGGCTCTTGAATAATTAGGCAAACAATTTGGCTGTTCTTGCCTGTGCTGCTTTCAGTACAAAACGCTTGGTTTCGTTGTCAGTAGCTCACAGCAATAACTGTAACAGTTGGATATTTCAATACTGTTTTCACTAAGACTGACCAGCAATTATATCTCTCATCTGTATGTATGTGTTCGCTTTTGAATTTTTTTTTGTTTTCTTGCACTGTCAGTAATCTTAATTGTATTTTTGTTTGTTCCACCGTAGTCCTCACAATGAAATTCCCCACAACAGAGGCTGAAAGAGCTCCCATCTAAAGGAATGTGTTTAACTTCATTCTGAAACAAAAAAACATTCCAATGTAGCACATAACACTTCTCTATTTCCTTCTTCCAAGCACTCACACTCTGCCGTTCTGCATCTCCTTTCTTCTTCCAGCCTCTCAGAGGCACAGTTGGCTCAAGTTTCAGTGGCAAATGCCTTTTTTNAAAACTCAAAATAATCCAGACCAGATCAAATTTAGAACTGGAGTCTGGATATGAAACGTCACAATAGAAGACTTAGCAGCAAGTTATTTGGCCACTGGGAATACAGTACAGGGATGGGATAACTTTTAACAAGCTCAAAGACCCATTTCAATACCAGCCTTGAGAACTCTTCCAGCTTTTGAATTCTTAAGTATTCAGATCACTCGGGATAGTTTGCCTCTGAAGAACTACATAAGCCTCATTAAAAAGAATCTGGAAGCAGTAGTGAATAAATAGAGAAATACATGTTAATACTGTGACCGATTGTTGGCAACATTAGGCTTTTTTTATATATATATATTTTATATATATAAATTGTACAAAATTCACAGTAAGGTTCCAAATATTGAAACCTGGAAGGACAAAACTGAGGCAGACATAACCCAAGTCTTTAAGAGAACCAGTTCTTGGCCCTGTTAAGCAGCTTGTTTAAAACATAAGTTTTCAAATAATTTTTTTATGCCTTGCTGCTGAGAGTTGGCTGCTGATAATCATTAAAAAAATAATAATTGCACTAGGCTTTTGTATCGCAAGTCTTTCTGTGCAAAGCTGCCCAGAGTCAAAAGGGAAGTCAGATATAACACGACATCCGACCAAGTCAGATTCTGTCAGTTATAATGTGTCATCCCTTACTCCCTTTCCCAGCAATCTGTAGGTCTCTGCGTCTTCATCGTGCAGCCTGTTGCCCCGAGCCAACATCGTGCACCCACCAACACCAGGCGGTTTACACTGACTTAACACAGTTAGACAAATTCCTATTCCACTCCTTCACTTCATGTCCACGTCGAAGTCCAGAACAAGCAGCTTTGTTTCCTCAGTCCCATTTCTGCTTCCCACTGCGCAAACAAGCTTTGTGTTCGATGCTCTAATTCGCCACACAACGCCTCCACTGCCCCCACTTTCCAGTGTAACCAAATTCCGAATGAACTCGCCCGTTTTCAAGTCCCACAGCTTGACAGTCCCATCATCTGAGCTAGTTATCACAAAGTTCTTGTTGAACTGCAGGCAAGTCACAGCACTCTGATGCTTGTTCGGCCCTAGTGAGGAAATCAAATGAGATTATTAATCACCCAAATGTTCCCCAAAAAGCAACACATCATTTTACATCATCATCTGAGAGACTACAGAAGAGGCTCAATTGGGCAATTCTTTAGGAGATCAAGTTAGATACATGGAATTTATCTAATTAGCTGTTGATTTTTACATATATATATATATTAATATAAATATATATTACACAGGATGGCCAAAAAGTCATTATAACTACGCTATTATCTAAAAAAAACATCATTTCTTTAAGACTTATTAGGCATTATAATGGTATTATGACTTTTTGATCACACTGTAAATATGCATATATGTGTGTACACAAATTATTTTTGAGGGGTTTTGAATAACATCTTTAACATATTTAGTCATTTGTAAATAAACCTCACTACATTTCCTAATCAATAGGCAGCAATGAATGGAGATTCTTTTGTGAATCATGCTGAACACTGCATGCCTCCAAACCCAATACAAAATGCTTTCCTTCACTGTTCCTTTGTGTTATTCTAACTTAAATGATTGGGTTTCCAAAATCCATGCTTGAGTGCTTTACCCCAATAAATAATAATTGTTGCAACTGAAATATAGCCCATAATGTTGAGATGTTGTAAAGAGCTTTGCAGGAAATTGCCCTGAAGGATAGTGGGTATGTATTTGAAGTCATCTTGCACACAGTAATGATCACAAACAGCTAAGAAGCGAATGACTAATCTGGAGAATATTGGTCAGTACATCAGAACGAAACTTCATTTTAGAAATAGTGTCACAGGTCTTTAATGTTCACCCGATCAAGCCTCGGGTTAGTCTCACCCAAAGGATGACAACAATAAAATTACATTTGTATAGTGCCTTTCAATAGCTAATTCAATCATTAAATGCTCCTACAGAATTGGGAGGAGGTCCCAAGGCACTGGACAGTCAGTGTTTCGGTCCCGAGCTGGGGGTCAGGATTGGGGAGGGTGGAAGGCAGGGAGGGAGGGAAGCGGGGTGATCGAAAGCACGGTCGAAGAGGAGGGTCTTGAGATGGGTCTTGAAGGAGGCAAGGGAGGGGGGGAGGCGGAGGGACTGTGGGATGGAGTTCCAGAGGGTAGGCGCAGAGTGGCAGAAGGCCTGCCCGCTAATGGTGAGGGGGGTGAGGTGGGGGACGTGAAGCAGGCTGGAACCCACTGAGCGGAGGGAGCGGGCAGGATGGTAGAGGGTTAGGAGGTCTCAGAGCAAGGTCATGGAGGGCTTTGAAGGTGAGGACTAGGATCATGAACTGTATCCTCTGTGTGATGGGAAGCCAGTGGAGTTGGGCGAGGATGGGGGTGATAGGGTCACGGAGCCTGGCGCGGGAGAGGACACGGGTTGCAGAGTTCTGGATGATCTGCAGCCTAAGGAGGAAAGAGCTGGGGAGGCCGACAAGCAAGGAGTTTGCATAGTCAAGCCTTGATGTTATGAATGAGTATATGAGGGTTTCAGCGGCCTGTGGTGCGAGACAGTGGCAAAGCTGGGCGATGTTGCAGAGATGGGGAAAAGCAGAATAGATCATGGTACAGATTTGGGGCAGAAAGGATAGTTGAGAGTAAAACAAGACACCAAGGTTCCGGATTGGAGTGTGTAACCATGGACGGTGATGCTGTCAGCGCCTGAGGTGAGGAGGCACTGACGGGAGCCAATCAGGAGGGCCTCGGTCTTGTTGACGTTCAACTGAAGAAAGTTAACACTGCACTGTCAGCACACCTGGTTCTGCACTGAAGTATCAACCTCGACACGCTTGCTACTGAAGTGCATTCTTCAACTGCCTCTCTGATAATTACGGTGAGGTTGCTTCAAGGGTTATTCAAACGCATCTCTTTTCCCATCTCTACACATGGTGTTGGGTTCAACATACTAATTCTCCACTGCTGAGTTTAGCATTTCAAGCAGGCAAATTTAAAAACTGAGGCCTCTGTGAAACACGTTATTGTCTCCAAAGATGGCAGAGGTGAACATGCATAAACAGGGAGAGTAAACTAGAGAACAAATGCTCCTTGCTATCGGGTGTAGTGTATCCATCGAGCACTCAGTTTTACTTAACTAAGCGTGAAAAGAAAATCACTGCTAGTGAGATTGAACCATTATTGCAATCACAAATCTACATTCCTGACTTCCCATTGCCACTTTGAAAGCTTGCATGTATTGCAGAATTTTAGTTTATGATACATTAGCAATATAAAGAATTACTATCCAGAACATTTTGCCATCATACAGCTATTTAGAGATTACACTTGTAGTAAAATGTCCTGATTATCTTTTTTAAAAAGTAGGAACATAGTGAAAGAGCTGAGGTTTAGAGGGTAGGACAACACTAAGACTGAAAAGTGCAGCAGAGATGCAAGTCAAAGAGAAGTGATCAGGATACACCAAGCTTGGGTTTTAAAAGCCTGCAGATAGAATGAGGAAGGGACAAGTGAGAAAAATACAGAATTCCAGTTAATATCCCTAAATATTGAATCTAATCAAAATGGAAGTTGCTTTTTCCTTGCACATGTATGACCGTGGATGGAGGTTGTGCTAAATTACTATGATGCTTTGAAATTGGACCTGGGAAGTTTAACCATCAAAATGTGTTCCAAATAATCAGCATCAAGTAATATATTATACAAGCTTGGGTAAAGTGACTTCAGTTCATCAAGCCTTGGCCTTCTAAATACAGGTTTGCTGTAGAAAAAAATATGAGCTTTTTCAAACTCACCTTGTAACGTTTGTAAACACTGTCCTGTTTTGATGTCCCAGATTTTTACTGTGGAATCTGCATTTCCAGAGACTAGGATATTGTCCTTGAGTTCCATTCCACTTGTTAATGACTGGTGTCCTGTTAACGTGTGAATACAATTCCCAGTTTCCACATCCCATACACGAATAGAGGTATCAAGTGAACCACTTACTACATGGATACCATCAAACTAAGGGTAGAGGGAGGAGGAAAAACACAGAAAATTTCCTTTTAGCCTTGTGCATTTCTAAATTATTCTCTCAGTTGCAGTTTTACTAGTATCAGAACAGGCAACAGTAAAATTCACTGGCATGATTTAGACACTGTGTTTAACCAATGCTGGATTTCATAATGTGTACAGCAAAGCACCTTGCGGTTTCCACCTACCAGTTACATTAGAACAGTCTAATCAATCTGCATTCCTTTAACTGCTAGATTTCTCATTGCAACTCATTAAATAGCTAATTCAATCATTAAATGCTCCTACAGATTTTGATTTTTTTCTTCTTCTGGTTTTATTTCATTAGTTGAGAGACTTAAAACAGCATATTTAATGATAGTATTAAATAGGTATGGTATTCATGCCTCAAACCACAATAAATGAAATAGGATCTATTTCAGCTCTGTGCAATGGTGAATACAAGCACAGCTTTAATTGATACCTGTACCGGTACATTGCAAAAGTAGTTCTGAAAAGATTCCTGGTACACTTTGAGATCTAAAAAGAAGCCGCTTGTCTAATCATCTGTCACTATTTGCTGCCTACTGTTGTGCAATCTTCAATAAATTGAAGAGCAACTGGCAGGGTATTCAACCACCACTTTCCACTCTCTTCTTCCCTAATTGAGTGCAAGGTTTGCTGAATGTTCATCGGAACAGAACATTTTCTCACTAACGAAATCAACCAGTGAAACTAAGTTTCAAATTTTATTTTCAAAATGAAATCAGACTGATAGGTTTTAAAAACAGGATTCCGATTCAACACTCCATTTGCTTACCTGCAATGAATAGACCCGATTGGTGTGTCCCTGTAGTGTATGTAGACAGGTTTCCGTTTCTGGGTCCCACACCTTAACCATGAAATCATACGCTCCACTGACAACTCTTCGGCCATCGTATTGGACACATCGCACTGCTGCTACGTGACCCATTAACACATGTAAACACTGTCCTGATTCAATGTCCCAGACACGAAGAGTAGCATCTCTAGACCCGCTCACAACCCTACAATAACATAAAGACAAGCGTCATAGAAACAGGGGCACAATAGGAAAAAGCAGCCTTTGAAACAACACAAATCTCTCCCACCTTAACTGCTTCAAATTATAAGTTAACGTTTAGTGTAGACACTTCCTCCCAATTTTCAAGAATTTATCATTTCAATAAAAAGCAGAGACTTACCTGTTTTCATGGAGGTGCATGCAGCGCACAGTCGAGGTATGGCCATATAGTGTGTGAATACATTCCCCAGAATCAGCATTCCAAACTTTCAATGTTCGGTCTGTTGATCCACTGATGATGATATTGCCCCTCATTTGGGATGACCAGACACCACCCGTATGTCCTACTAATGTCCTTAAACACTGAAAACGCAGGATAAAATAGTATTAGCAAATTATGAAATGAGTGCTTGCAACCACAGAAATATCAGTGTAACGATGCACCATCAATCCATATCAAATTAATTTTAAATCAAAAGCACTTACATTCAGAGTTACTTTTCAGTAACTGCATGATTGCTTGAGTGAGTCAGCAGTTGAAGGGGATGAACACTTAAAAGCCCATTGAAAGTACGATGAGAGTGTCAAATTTCCACTCACTTGAACCAACTTGGCATGATGTACTTTCACATCTGGAAACTGCACTTAAATCTATGCCAGGCTGATGCAAGTGACTTTACTGACTGCAACCTCTTAATTGTCTCATATGAACTGAGTTTGGGCACTTTCCACTCAGCTCCACGAAGGGGTAAGATTGCAGCACACAACCCTTCATTTGGAATTCTTGTTCAATGGCCACAGGATAGCAATTGTGGTAAATGGAAAACACTGCATTATTGCAATGGGGGGTGGGGGGAGGAAGAGAGAAAGGTGCTCTTTCAAGGATAGGGCAAAGTCAAGGAAACTTTACTTAACATTTTGCCTGATCTGAAAGTGATAAATGCTGTCACCGGGTGCATGAAATGGGAGTACATTTCCCAAGAGCAACAGCTTATTTAATGAGCAAACACGGGTCGTGTGCTGGTGAGAGAGGAAACATGCTTGCAAAAAGTACAAGATTCCTTAACAAAGCACATTCCACAAAGTTCTCAAAGCTGATGTCATGAAAGGCCTCAAATATCTCAGCTAAGTAAGGTATGAACCAATTTATGACCGGTTTAAGATAGGAAATCTCTGCATGAATTTCCTTTAGAAAGTAAGGGATTTGAAATCCCTTAGAATGCTCTTATCTCAAAAGGTCAGTCATTCAGGTAAAAGGTGTTTTGAGAGCGATTATATGCCTCACATATTTTAACTACATTGCTCTTGAGGAAAGGAATTTAGGTTGAGCATTTTACAAAGACAAGGCAACTCTGAATGACAATTATTTTGATATCCTTCAATAATAAATTCAAGCCATTTGAAACAGAAAGGCAGAAAATGTTCCCACAGTATAAAAACATTCATTCAGAACTCGATATACAAAACACATTGGATTCTGGAAAGGAAATGTGATCTCTGCTGCAGGCAGTTTTCTCCAATATGGTTTCTCTACCTACTGATGAATGCATTTGCAGTGAGAAAAGGAAAGTCTCTGCAGGGAAATGATACTATGCTGTTTATTTAATCTCATACCAAGAAACATTCAGACAGCCAGAATGATTCCATTCATCCACCTGACTAATCTTTTAAACACTGGGATTTTTAAAAGTCACAAATATCAGAATTACATTATAACCTCAGACATTACAACCAAGTGAAATCCCACTCTCTCCTCAATTCACACCTATTACTCAGAGCAAAAAGAACCCAAAGCCATTGTCACAGTGCTACGTTTTACTATTTCTGCCAAAACATTCGGAAGTGAGAAGCTCCAATAAAACATTGTGTGACATTCAGATTAATATTGCTGCATTTCTGTAGATTTGTTAGTTTGTTCAGTTTAGAAAATGCATAACATGTACAGTGAGTGCAACCTCATGATAATGCGCCTCAATATAACTCAGATTTGCTCATAAAAAAACCCTCAAAAAAAAAATGTGTAGGCATCCAATTTGCTTCAAAATGCTGCCTAGCCCTTCGTGTGATAAAGAATGGCTGATTTCCTGGGCATCAGGTTGCTGCTGATACCAGCTCTGATGGTGAAAGCATGATATGGAAAACCGATTTTTAAATAAAAGTATGAGAAGCTGGCTAGTGTTTTGAAACAAGCTGGAGTTCTGCGAGCGCGTGTAGTGAATGTGGAAGTGCTGGCCTTGTTATAGCACTGGTTGGGATTTTATGGACCCCACCACTGGGTCGTAATGGAGCTGCACGTATTAGGAACATCATAGGAAATGTATCATTACACTCGAGGAAATGACATTGAATTCCAGGCTGCTGCTTACATATTGGATAATTTCACCTCTGCGAAGCAGCACATCAGAGGAGTTTGATAAAAGATTACTGTACATTCCTGCTGCACAGCTCTGACATGCAGCATTTGTGGCATTCAAAAAATGTCGGGCCAGGTCACGTGGGTCAATATCCAATGCAGCACAGAACCCCAAAGCTAACATGTGGAGTTAGTTACAATGATAGGAAACGTCTGCTCTAATGCTCAGTCAAAGTGTACTAAAATAGATTATTTTTTTACCATATTCCAGAGATCGGAGATATCGCTAACATAAGAAACCTACATTTTAGTCTATTTTTAATCTTGCAGACATTCATCAAGTGATAACCACATGAAGCTAGAAGAGACTTCTACCATCAGAGGTTTCCACTGGCGGCAGCAGCAGGCCACTTACAAGGTGGCTGCATTACATTGCTCAATTCCTTACGTGATTCAAATTAGAAATGTAGTTTGGAGTGGACGACACTTCCATTAAAATCCTCTCCATGTTACACTGTAAACTTCAAAGAGGTGAATCATAAGAGTACTAATGATAGAAATCATAGTAATTTCAGGTCGGGGAAAGCCACTTGCCCATGTGTATGCTAGCTCCTCAGTAAAGCTATTACCTAAATCTAATTTCCCTACAGACCCACAATAAACAAAATATGTCTTTCTGTCCTGGAGCATAAAAAAGACAGAGCTTGCTCGCCTGATCAATGCTGACCAGCAATCAAACACGGGGTGTGCATGTTGGCACTTTCAGATGTTATCAGTAATTAACTGTGTAGGTTGAACCTCTGGTGTCAGTCCACCTGTTTGCTTCACCGCTTTGAAGTTTACAGTTTAACATTGAGACGATTTCCAGTTTTTTTTTAGATAGCACGCTTTCGTAATTCACGATTTTTCTCTGAAGCATTCCTTCCCACAGCCCTCTGCCTTCTCATTTAGTTCATAATGTGCAGAACATAAAAATCAAGTATTCCTTTTTATGGGTCTTCAGTGAGATGTTTGGTTTTAAAAATACATTACCCTCCTTTGCATTTTTTAATTATTTCATCTGAATGACTTGTTCTTTCACACAATGTCAATTTTATTGTAGCAGGCAAGAGTTCTGATCTCAAATCACTGCCTGCACAGGGACTGCCAATTTCACATTTTCAATTTAGGAAAGAGATCTGAAAGCATGAGGGGTACAGTAGTCCGACCGAGGGACTTTCACAGCAACCAATACAGCAAAGCCGCCTCTGCTAACTTCCACAGGCGTTGCTTTGGATTTATTTTTAATCCCAAGAGTAGTTCAGCATTTTATGGACTTGTTCGCCAGATTAGAAACTGCTGAAGACAAATGTGCTTTTGCTCACCTACGCCTTTCCTTTTGGCAGAAAGGGTGTGGACTCGAAACAGCAGGGGCCAGGAACTGGAACATTTTTCATGTCACCCATTCTATTTTTAAACATTTTTGTTTTTCTGAACAATAATTCCTCCCGACAAATTGCTGGACTTGAAAATTCCTGGACAGGAAGTGAGTGAAATTAAAGGAACTCACCTTTCCTGTAACTGCCGACCATACTTTCAGAGTGTTGTCATCAGACCCACTGACAATTCGGTTACCACAGAACTGCAGGCACGTGATCACGTGATCATCATGACCTTTCAGCACCTGCTGAGAGAGAACATCCGACACTGTACATGAAACTCACGTCAAGTTACCATCCTTCACCTGATAGAACCAAGGAAGGTCACATTTAAAAAATATATAATATCCATAATATCCAAACTGCCTCAACGGCACTAACTGGAGCTTTTTATTTAAGTCTGTTCTCTTTCAGCCCGTGGTTCCAAGCTTAATGCGCCAGAACTAGAAATGAATCCTTTACATATCTTTCAGTATTGTTCTACAAACTGGCAATCCCAACAAGTTCCTAAAATTTCGGCTTCTGAATCCCTTTTCAGACGGTACCTTGGGCGTTTTTAGATCTCCGCAACGCCAGTTAGTGTCTATTCTGTGCTGTCGAATGTAGGCGCTTTTCCAAGGGCTGTGAGCAAAACCTGGTTTGACCACTTTCCTCCTTTTGATGTATACAGGTTCATCAATTCCTGCAAAAAAAAATGCATGCAGTTGCACACCAAATTCCCAGAAAGCATTAAAATAAAACTTGCAGTAATGTTTGACTTTAAGAATAGTTTTTAAATATAAAACCTTGGGAACAGTATTAGAGTTGACTTCATTCAATCTAGTTTTCCCCCCAATATTCACGACCGCCTACGTGATGCATATTCTAATGTATTACAAAAAGGTGCATGTAGTTAATACCATACCCTTACCTTCCTCTTTGCACTTTTCTCTCCAAAGCAGGTTATCTTCAGCCAGTATCCTCCAGTAGCGGCAGGTTTGGGCTGCTTGCAGCAGGTCCTTAGGCTCCAGGAATGAGAGAACATACAGCGCCAGCTACGATGCAGAAAAATTGCAAAAATGAATGCTGTTAGTGCATTTGTACAATGGTAAGAACATTTTAAAAAGCCCTTTAGCACAAATATAAACTGAACAAAAGCAGTGACTCTAAATCAGGGTGGTACTTGCTTCCACCCCCCCACCCCATCCCTCATGCAATAGGCAATGAGAATGGAATTTTTGTCACTGTTGCTAGTGCAGCTAAGAGCATAACACCGTTTAAAAGAAATCAGCTAAGTATTTGAAGGGGAATAATGAAAAATAATGCAAGCAGGAATTGGAAGTATTGTACATAGATCCAATGGCAGAGTCAACACAAGAATTGGCTCAATAGCTTCCTTCTGTGTAATATTGATTCAAAGCAGTGTAAAGAATCATCCATTTTGTCATGGACCCTCACACAAATGGAATTAACTCAACTTTCAAAAGCCAATGGTGCACGTTTGTGTGAACAACTTCATAAGCAATTTTATTCTATGTGTATCACAGAGCCTTATTTTAGAAAGATAATTACAATTTTTTTTAAAGCTTTGCTTATCGCTTGTTAACACGCAATGTGCTAAACTGCCAGCGCTGCATAAAACAGCTGCAAGGAAACCTTTTAATTCTGGACATATTTTCATCATTCAGAAAACCTCACCTCTTTTGGGAGAAGTGATATAAAATCTCGCTGGAACTGGGGTTCAATAACTTGCATCATGTGTTTCACTTGCGTTGGTTCGCAGCTGTCAATTAATTCATCTAATGCAAGTAATCTTTCTGGTCCGCTCCAACTCTAGATATCAAAGAAACAACACAGAAGTTTAGTGAGATTTTAGTGAAGGTCCAAATGCTAATATTCAACACATTTAACACTGGAGTTGGAAGGACAGTCTTAGTTTTGTGAAACATAAGCAGATTTCCAGTCCTGGGGCTCAGTGTGACACAGGAGAGCATTATTTTATAAGTAACCGGGAATCAAAGTGTCAGTTGGGAAAAGACTTTGAAACGGAATAAGAGTATTGCGGAGTAGGACAAGCTTTGCAATTCATGTTGCGCTTAGATTTAAGAAATCCGTGAAGTCCACAGGCATAAAGAGTTGGGTGTGTACAGAGACAATTAGCAAAGAGGGAGTGCCATTTCTTTATTCTTTGTCCACTTCATGGCTGTTTAGAGGTTGTTACTGTATGCAAACTGCCTGCTGCTTCCGCGTATAAATACACAGTTGCTACACTTCACACCAAGTAATGTAGGCCACTTTATGTTGCTTCCCAAGTCACTGGGGTCTGCTACCTATTGTATAAATTGTTATAGGTGGAATTGCAGTTGTCCTTAATTATATACTGAACAAGCCGAGAATCTTGTGAAGCACTTTGAGATATTTCAACAAAGTGAAAAGGTGCAATATCAAATGCACTATTATTAAATAATTACCTTTTCAATGCTTGTTAGGTACATAATTGAGGAAAGGGGGGGGGGGAAGGACATCTTAAAGCACTTTGTAAGGATTAACTGTAAAGTGTAGTGACTCTGTACTTTGTAGGCGAATTTAACGAGGTAAGAATGTCACTTTCATTACTAGAACAGGCGAGGCAATAACATGGCGTTCTCGGAATAGTGCCCCAGCAGAAGGGGCTGATAAAAGGAGTCCTGCACTTTCAGAACAGGGGGAAGGGATCAAATTGCTTTAAGAAAACACAAATAGGCTGAATTTTTTTTTAAAAGACAGCGCAATGCCAGCATGAAGGATTATAGCTGCATTACCTAATGTCAAAACCCCCAAAGTCTCTGGGGGAAGGGGAAAGTTATTGTGCCAGTCAGTGAGAAGGCCAATATTTCCCTAACGCATCCCTTACATTATTGTGCAGATTTCCAGCAACAGTGGCCATGGAGGATGACACAGAATAAAGAAAAATACTTGGCTATTATTTAACCTCTGGTGTATTTTCTTATACTTATTTTTGTATTTGTCCTGTTCCATGTGATTTTTTTTTAAGTGTGTATTTCTTTATCTCCATTTCCTTTCCACTTTTGAAACAATTTTTTTTTCATGGTTTTGTCCCAGAACTCGTCATAGTACAAAATATTTATTAAACTCGGTGTAATTTCATTGGGGTTCACAGTCAAGGCAATTCTAACATTTTAGCAAATTCTTCCATCTGATCAGTTGTCTGAATTTCTAAGAACATTTTTAGTCTGTCAGAAAGATTCTAATGAGGCTAATAACCAACCAAAGTAATCCTCTCCATCCGTGGATTATTGACATAAAAGTAGAATGGCAGAAGATTCATTTTTCCTCCTGGAACAGGTCACAAATTTAATCAATTTATCCTTCTGTATCTCTGGCTTACTGTGTGCTCATGTTTTATGCACAGTAGTCAAATCTTTAAGAGACAGATTTTAAAATGACCTTTATAGCCTCCATCTCAAACCAATCCAAATCTAATCTAGTCTCATTTTGAGACTAGATTTCTCTCATGAAGCTCCACGTAAAAATATAGACACCCACATGAATTGCACAACTTATTTTCTTTGGTATGACATTGTGACTATTTTGAAAATGACGAGGGTTTTATTCCTGGTTTGAAAAAGGAATAATTTTGCCCTAATCATTTCCCTCCGCTTTCCTCTCTGTAGCTCCAGTTATTTGGAAGTATCTGAGTCATGGACTTCTGATGGTTAACTTCCATGCAGCTTAGCTTCCTGACTGACAAGAAATCATTGCCACAGCTCTGATGACCTCTTTGCATAATTTTAAGATGATGGTGTGCTCCAGTAAATTTAGTTGCTTGGCTGAGAAAGCGATAAAACCTCACAATAGGATGAGAGTAAATATAAGCTCATGTTTTTTTATTCTGATCCTTTGGCTTGAAATTCCAAGATCCAAAGTTAAGAGGATGCTTATTTTCATTTCTTATTATTTACTAAGTTTATCATCTGAATCAGTCCTAGTGTACTGAGATCACTAGTTGATTTCAAGTTTTATGTGAAATTAAAACATTCTAAGAAGATCATTGCAGACTTAACGTAACATCTTACTTAAGATTAAAAAACAAGGATACAGATCCACTACAGACCAATTTTGTGCACGAATGTGTAAACAGCAGAATGTGTAAAATAAATTGAAGATGAGGATCTGGACAGATCCACAAACTCACAATTGTGCCATTTCACACAATCCATGTGAGAATACTGATGGTCAGGTCTTTTTAGAAAATCATTAAACCTGTGTTTCCAAGAACATTTTAGAGGATACTGTTTTTAAGTGAGTCTTACAGAATCAAAACCAATCATTACAAAGGATTGAGAATAACCATGAATACCATAGTTTTGACTGAGGTCGTCTTTTCTATTCAGATCCCTTAGGATCCATGTTCCCATGGCACCAGGCTTTTATTTACTGTAGGAATAGAAAGCATTTGTGGCCCAGACTACAAGGTGCATCTGACATGCCTGATCTGCTGTTACCTGGAATGGGACTGTGTGTAGATGGAAAATTAGCAAAACAATGATACTGACAGTTGGTTGGGTGAGATAATGAAGATACCCTTTTCGAAAACAAATTCCCAAATCCCAAAGGTATGTCCACCCACTGGTATCTTGAGTTCTCCACACCCACTCAATTTCAAAACTTCTGTTCAACACAAACATTCTGTTCTGAATAAACATGCTTGAAATGTTAACCTAACTTTTCCCTTCAGATTTCATCAACTAGTTGGCATTTCCTGGGGAATGGTCGTTGGAATAACCAAATTTGGATGTGATGAAGGTGTGGATGAGGGCTTCAGCATCCTGGAACAAAAGGTAGTGGCAGAGATGCAGTGGAAATGAGAGAAAGTCGAGGCAGTGAGTGCCCAGATGGAGAGATTGAACGACGAACAAAACATTGAAGTCCTATGCGGGCTCTGAGGTGGAGTGAACATTTGTGCAGGTTGTTGTGGTCAGTGCCCGAGGTGAGAAGGCGAAAGGAGGCAAGCAGGAAAGCCTCGGTCTTGTTGACATTGAACTGCAAAAAGATTGAATTCATTCAGAAACAAGAAAAGGACAGAACCGTGGAGGTAGACCGGGGCGGAGAGATGGTGGAGAAGGACAGGCTGGTCAATAGTGTTTATGGTGGCAGAAAGGAGAACAAGGCAACGGGAGAACCAGTCGCAGATGGAAAGAATGTTATTGGTGATTAACCAGGGCAGAATATGGATTAAAGGACGTGAAGAGGGAGCAGTGGGAGAAGACACCCTCCTGTACCTGGCCCGATTATGTGAATCTTGGCAAGTAATTCAATGGCCAGCCAAGCTGATCCCATCTTTCCCAAACGCATTGCACAGAAATCCTAACATGGCCACTTCCAGGTTATAAAGTACCCACCTAATCGTACCTACTCAGAAAGCCAGCATATAAAAAAATAAATTAAAATGACTTCTTTATGAGTGTCCACTTCTACTCTGAATTCATTTGAATGTCCTTTCAAGGACAATGTTTTTGTTTTTGCCCTTTTTCTCCCTCTTCTCCTGTAGGTGCTGACTCATGCGTAGATAAATAATCCTTACATCTGATATTTGATACAATGCCTTTTACGTCAGGAGAATGTCTCAAAGCACTTCTTGGAATATACTGTAAAACGTAGTGGCTGGATTTTGTAGGTAAGCAAGACGGTTCCAAGGACCCTGATTATTCCCTGCTGTGCAGCATCTCAAATAAAATTGCACAGAACTGTAAAACTGCTTCAAGCACGTGAATTTGAATGCAGCAAACAAATTTACTAAGATGGTTTGGAGTGCATTCAGAAAATAAGGGTCTGTGTTGCACATCACAAAAACAGCTTCACCAAATGACAGGAAATAGAGACGTGCTATACAGAATACTGCATTTGCCCTGAATCTTATCCTGTGTCATCAGGGAGCAGTTTGTTTTTGATAATTGCTTGAAGCCTGGCTCCATTGAAGCAATAGAGACACGGTACATTGTTTTACCTCAGATGTCAGCTTCGTTATCAGCAAAGGCAGGGGAGGACAATTTTCAAGTCAACCCAGAAACAAATATCTCAATGCAAATAAAGCCTACTATTCTTTAAAAATCTGTGTAGAGTCGCAAGAACACAGAAACCTATTTAAAGGCATTCATAAGAATGCATCAACTCTTGACCGCCAGTACTTTTGTGCTCCTAAGACACATGAAAATAGCATGCTACAGGACTGGCAAATGTTATCCTTTATTAAATCTGTTGTTAACCAATGCAGTCGAAAACAAAGCATGTGTAGCAACCAAATACAGATACAGGTGTTTTGTGACATGGGCACGACCCACCTTCAGGATGCCTCCATGCAATGACTCTACCAGATTATGCCAGGAAAATGCTTCTCACCTGAAAAGTTCTCAGCCAGTCCTGGAGTTCTGGAGGAGGCTGGACCGATGTGATCCGGCGCCGCTGCTGCCCTTGCCCATTTGCAGCTCTCAGGTCCCCAAAGGTGGTTGGTGTTGCTGAACATGGAACTAGCCCTGGCGTGCTGCTGACAAAAGGTGGAATAAGTCAAATACAAACTTTCACTACATGAACTGTTAACATTCACAAGTCGATGACCACTGCCACCTGGGACAAGTGGATCTTGGGAGTTGTAGAAGACAAAGTCTAATTCTTTGCTTCATTTTCACATATGAAACAAAAGCTGCTCGCTTTCATACGGCAGAAAAATCAAAGAGCATTGCTTCCATGATCAGTTGTCGTTCAATACGCCTTGAAGCCTTTAGGATTATGTGGTACTAAGAAATGGTGGAATGCAATTCAATCCTTAACAATATCGAATTCCTATCTCATTTTGAGAAATCACCAAGCAAAATCCACAAGGGTATGGGGGAAGGGAATCAGAATGATGTCAGAAAGAATTGTCTCTGGATCACTGTTGGATGCTTCTGGTAGCTGTTTAGAGCATCACTGATGGAGGTTTCAGACCAGGGGCAAGATGAGCGTCTGTAATGCAGGAAAAAATATTCTGATGGCAAATATCTTATAAAGTAATACCCACAAATCCAATCTGACAACTGCATCAACTGAACAGCAGGTGAACTGATAGGATGCAATTGATCATAACACTACATTTCCAACAGTAGCTGTCAAGTGAATATAGTCTCAATACTAAAGATGTAAACAAGACAAAAATATTTTGTTTTAAAAAGTTATTTTCTGATGGGAACATATGGCTCTATAGAAATCTAGGTTATTTTGGAATAAAGTGTCAAGACACAGATCATAACTGTGAGTTAGTAAAAATTGATAATTGATTTAAAAAAATCAGAATGCTGAAAACTCATTTTCGTTCCTAGAATTGAATTGGAACAGTTCAGCAGCCTTCCCACTACAAATCACAATGTCAAAGTCTTTAAAATCATCTCTAGGTCTTCTCCGATGTACTCAGATGTCTTACAAATTATAAGGATCCTTTGAGCGTGCTTAGTCAAGCATGCTCTCTGCAGCTCTGATCAGCGTGATGACCAGCAGTGAAGGGGTGGAGCAGCTCAGAACAGTCATCACACCCACATCCGAGCAAGCCTGTCAGCTATTCTGATGGAGAATCCTGCTGAATACACATACTGTGATTAAAGTGAACTGCCTTAATCTAGTTTTTAATAACATGATACACAAGGGGTGTGCATGGCTGTGAGGGCACATTCTTCAGTGAACTACTCTACAGTACTTACAGACACACCAATCTGAAGTTATGTTCCAGAGCACCATGGGGCAAGCATGAGAAACATGCAAATATCAACCAGGCTACTTAAAATTTGCTTTTTGAGTAGCCTTTTGGGTAGTGCATTAACTTGATTCTTTAAACTGGACCAATGCAAATGGGTTTGAAACTGTTTTCAGTTTATATTCAAAATTGCCTTTTTTTTGTGCAAAAAAAATAGATAAACAGCATTACAAGTTTTGCCCACAAAATACAGTCACTATAATTTACAGTACATCTTGTGAAGTACTTTGAGATATCAGTGATGTGATAAGGTGCTATATTAAATGCAAGGATTATCATTATACCAAAGAAAAAAATGGATTTAAGCAGCTGGAAATTATCAAAAATAGCCTTCCTTAACAGCTTCCAAAAATTGGTATTTTGTTAATATACTGTACTAAATCTCGGTTATAACTTATCACATTTACAGCTCGTTACACTAAATGGATAGAATGTGTTTACGCAGTGCCACACATCACAGAATGTTATGTCACTGTACAAGAAATCCAAATTTTGTTTTTATTCAACACTAGGCAATTCAAAGAAACATTTTCGGGGGTGGGGAAGAGAATTTAAATAAAAGACTGATAATCACAAAATGCAAGAAAAACAGTCATATGAATGAATCAAAAAGGAACATGGCATGGTAACTCACGAAGGTCCCACACATCCATTTTGTGCTGCAATATCATATCTTGCCAATGCTGCTCTGCCACGTATTGAGCGTTCAATTAATGCTTTACAGTGAAGTGTCTTATCTTTAAGTACATGGCAGCTGAGGACATGGTTGATGATAATGTTAACACTTTAGCAAATCATTTTTTTTGCCAATAATGAAACCTTTATTACGAACTATGGAAACAGAAGCGATGAAAACAATTTCCCATGAGGCCTGGTCTCAAGTCTATCAGTTAGGATCAGTTGCCATGTCAGTGGTAGCTGCTTGTTAACTGATGTGAAGGATTCTACCCTGTGGCCTGCACTGCCAGATTATAATTGGACAAAAATTAGTCCGATTTCCATGCTCAGGATTCTATGCCAAAAATCTGCCACTTTTCAGCCCTCTGTATATGCCAACAAGAAGCACAGACAAAGTGCGAGACTGAGGGAATAATAACAAGCAAACAAATAATTGGGCTACGTACTTATTTGTGTCAATGAGAAAAAAATCCTCTTTAAGACTCAAAGCTGTCATGAGATTCTGTCCAATTCACCCCCCCCCCCCCCACCATCCGCACCCAAACAGGAAACATTGTAATTTACATAGCAGGATGGAAAACCTTCTTCTGGCCTGAAATAACTATTGCCTCTAAAATGTTGGTTTTACCTTTTGTACTCTGAGCCTTTGCAAGGTTTCTTCCCTGAAGAGAAAGACCGGACCTCGGGGCCAGGGTCCAATTTTCTCTTCATCTGAAAAGAGAAAAAAAACAAAAGATCACTTTTTAAAAAAAATAACATTGATCTTTGATTTATATACACAACCAAAGTTCATTCCTAGCTAAATCTTTGTAGCAGCAAATAAATCTAAGCTGATTTGGAGTTTAGGTGGTATCATACTAACTGGTTTCATAAGCAGTAGCTACTCCTGCTGCATACTAAGCAAACCATCTTTTGCGTGGATTAAGTGTTTGAGAACCATGGTAGCATTTCTGAAAATATTCATTGATGTTTTTATATTCATTGATACTAAAATACATGTGGACATGACTGTTTTTTTGCATCTACTGCCTTTACAGTTCTATTCATAACAGCTTCAGCATTGCATATCATACTTGTACGTATTACATGATTAACATCAAAGCTGGTCCTTCAAAGAAAAATCATTACTCATAGGATCAGATAAAACAGCGGGCAACCTGAGAAACTGGACTGAATAAATTATTTTCATGGATTTTTTGCATATTAAACTAAGGAAAATTTTATTTTAGATATTTTACAAGTAAAGCACACTATTTAGCACCCAGTGTAAATGCAAACATCTAAACATGCAGTGCATCTCATCTCAAGTAACATCGATCTGGAAAAAAGTTTCAAGCAGATTCATAAAAAGTCACAGTTAAATATTAATACTATACTGTACAGATCTAGGCTCAAAAACACAATTGTAAAATAACCATATTTTTAAAATACACAATCAAGAGATTCTATAGCTGAGCCCCGCTGTTCAGTACATCTCAGGAACTGAAAGCTTTATTATTAAAGGATTTGTAATGTTTAAAATGGGTTTAATTGAGCATCTAACGTGTCAGTTTTCCAGTATAAATTAACTTACTGAATTAGTTCTGCTTTTTCTCATTGACTCACAAAAATGCTAAGATAACCTTTAGTGGATCATATTGTACCCTGAGAATCTAAGCCAAGATAAAGCGGTCTTTATGGAAATTTACTGTATTCAATAATTTTATACCCACACCTGATGTCAGATCAAGTCATATATGATACGAAGACAGATTCAAATGTCAGTACGGCAGCAAATCATTCCATCAACCCAAAGCGGAATATATATGACAGTGTCAGCCAAAATACCATTATTTTGGATCATCAGTAAGATGGATCACATTACTATAGAATATTAAATATCCCGGTCATTTACATTCCTTTGTCTAAGAGCCTTGTAATGTTTAGCCTCTGCCTCTTAATCTTATCAGGAGTACTGTTAATTTCAATGATCATAATCAAGAGGTGGGGGGGGGGGAGGGAAAAGTGGTAGAAGTGGCCATTGCAATCATGGATTTTACATAGCAAAATGTATTGACGTTGCTGGGACGTTGGGACCACCCTAATTAAAATCCAGCGAGCGAATTTCTGCAGCAGAAACATCTATTTGGTAGTTGATAACCCTCTGTAACGTATGCACCGAATGGGGACAGCTTAGAAATGCTTTCTGCTTCTGCGATCCGAGTGACCCTTTGGGGGGAGGGGGGGGGGGGGGGGGGTCCTGGTGCACTGTTGTTACAGGGAGACCCCGGAGTGAATTCTCTCCCCCTCTCTACACTCCAGATGAGACTAAATCTAATCGGCAGCGTGTGTCTGGTGGAGCTTTACACCGAGCAAAGACGTGGGTGCCATTCATTTCTGAGGACAACAAGGGTGGAGAGTGATTTCACCAGCATCCTCTCCAACCCCCCCCCACCCCCCCACTGCCCCAAACTGTCGTGGAATCTAACCCCTGTTATTTGCTGAGCTGCGACACATTTTTGGGAGCTGCTGTGATTGCCGATCAACCTGTGGAGTCACAGGTTGATCAACTACAACTGTTCTGTTCCGTGAAGCGCTTTGGGACGTCCTCCCGACGTGAAAAGCGCGATATCAAATGCAAGGATTATTATTATTATTATTATTATTATTACTACTTTAAGCGCACACTGCAGGCACCTCGACCACAGGGACACGAAGCCTCAGTCACACATTGGGGATGGAGGAGGGAGGAGGAGGAGGAAGAAAATCAACTGCATCATTTTGGTACAAGGTTAATGTCACTCTGGAACTACCATCATCACATCACACGCCTCTCTCTCTCTCTCTCTCTCCTCTCTCTCTATGTGATGTGCTTCTGCGCTCAAAAAATCGCCCCTTTTTGGGGGGGGAAAGGGGTGGGGGGGGTGTCCACTGTAGTGGAGATCGGCAAACCCGCGTCTATACATGTAACATAACAATAATAATAATAATAATAAAACATAATCCATCCACGCACTCCTCTGCTGTGCTCTTAAACAAATTAAATTAGCCGCAGCCCCGAGCTAACAGGTAGCACTGAGCAAAACATGATCGTTTGGCTTCGGTTTCTAAAACACACACAGTCACACACACACACACACAGACACACACACACACACAGACACACACACACAGACAGACACACACACAGACACACACAGACACACACACACACACACACAGACACACACACACACAGACACACACACACACAGACACACACACACAGACAGACCCACACACAGACACACACAGACACAGACACACACACACACAGACACACACACACAGACAGACACACACACAGACACACACAGACACAGACACACACACACACAGACACACACACACAGACACACACACACACACACAGACACACACACACACACACACACACAGACAGACACACACACACAGACACACACACACACAGACACACACACACACAGACAGACAGACACACACACACACACACACACACAGAGACACACACAGACACACACACACAGAGACACACACACACCAGACACACACACACAGACAGACACACACAGACACACACACACACACACAGACAGACACACACACACAGAGACACACAGACACACACACACACACAGAGACACAGACACAGCACCATGAGCAGGCAGCACAGTGAAGCCAGTGTTGCTGCGCTCGCCTCCCACATCGATCCACGGCATCAGAGCCCCTGAAAGCCACAGCAACCGGGGGGGGGGGGGGGGGGGGGGGGGGGTCTGATCCCATCTCACCCCATCTGAAAGTCCAGCTGAACCGAGGCAGCCCCGAGCCCCGAGCCCGAGCCCCGGGGGTGGGGGATAGGTGGGGGTTGCAAATCGCCGCCCCCGGTGTCGGCGGCTGCGGGTGTGCACTTACTTTAAAAAAGATCATTTTTAAAGTGCCGTAGAAGCCCATCTTTCCCGCTGCGCTGCTCTCAGTTCCCCGCCCGCTCGGCTGATCGCTGCTGACAGTGGGTCCCTCCAGGTGAGTCCTGCGCCGGCCCCGCTGGGGACATGCTCGGGCACGTCAAGCAATCGGGGAGAGGAGGCGCCTGGTGTGTCCGCGCAGCCCCACAGACCCCCTCCGCCCTCACCCCCACAGCCCGGAGAGCCTCAGACAGTCATCCACCAGTGCTGCAGGGAGGGGAGGGAGAGGGGAGGGAGGGGAGGGAGGGGAGGAGGGGAGGGAGGGGGAGCCAGGAAACCCTGCCTCGCCAGAGTCTCCAATGAACAGATTCCTCTCTGTCTGGCAGATGGATCAAATTACACTGCACTCCACCCCCTGCCTTGTGTGTGAGTGTGTGTGTGATGTGTGTGTGTGATGTGAGTGTGTGTGTGATGTGAGTGTGTGTGTGATGTGAGTGTGTGTGTGTGATGTGAGTGTGTGTGTGTGATGTGAGTGTGAGTGTGTGTGTGTGTAAAAAACACAGCAATGGCACAGTCCAGTTCCCAACAATGTGAGCTGCACATCAATTAGACGAACAAAGCCCCG